CCCCCCCTCAATAGCATGCGTGGTGTGAACGCGAATGGGGCTTTAGTGGTAGCAATGCGGTGCGGCACAGAGCGTTAGAAACCACGGTAGACACATTTTCTCTGCACACATCTGCACTACAGAGTGGTGCGTTGTCACCATCGCCATACATAAAGAGATGTGCAGGGCCAAACGGGGCACGGTTATTTTATCTTTCATGTTGATGTATGAAAGTCGAAGTGTGGAGGTATTTAAAGTGGTGATGAACGTTCAAGCGAAGCACAACTCACCCCTCCGCCGATTGACAGATCATGTCAACAATGGCTCTACTGCATTGGTGCTTCTTGTTTTCTTTGGGCCGGATGTCACCGTTTCAACGCTGGAGTGTCAACGTGCTGTGTAAGTGCATCCATGGCGCACCGCTTTGGTATCAGAAGTGTGGTGCTGTTCATCGATAGACTGCAGCACGCGCCCCGAGTCCGCTAGATGCAGATGAAGGTTGTCGACCATGCGAATTGGCACGGTGCTGAACAGCGCAATGGAACGATTGAGGAAAAACACCTTCACGACCACGTATCCACGCTACAGATCCCGCAGAATGGAGACACTTAACGGCCTCTCATGGGCGCGTGACGCACTGGAAGTAACCGCTGGTGAGGAGGAGGCTTCGGGGTCGCTGATGAAGATGAGCATCCCGTACATGTTCAAGGTGTCGTGGAGTCATCGAGTTCTTTTTGACGGTCTGCAATGTGGCACTTTTGCTTTGCGATGACACCTGGGCCGCCATCGTCGCTGATGGCATTTCTAAACAGCATTAAAAAACCATCCTTGCACACATTCTGTCGAATCGTGAGCGTTCCTTGGGTATGGCCGCTGTAAAGCATGAAGAAACAATCAGGCTTTGTGGAGAAAGTCATGTCTGGCATCCACTGGCGTTCAAGACACCTTCGCTCACAAGATCATGCATCGATGGCATCACGTATCGTTGAGTCGCCCAAAGCAGAACTGTTATTCTTCAGGTCAAGGGCGTGCAATGCAGACGACACACATGAAGGATCGCGGCCCACGATGCATTCTCACGCTGATTCTCTGCACATTTAGGCCGCGTGGGGGAATGCGCGGTGGTACCATGTGGACTCTGACACATTGTGGAGACACGATCTATCCCATTCTCCTCCATGTGCTGTGTGCTATCAGTGAGGGCGGCGAATAGTCTCCGTGGGGCGCTAGGGTGCGCCTGCAAAAACAGGAGAAGGTCACAGAGCCGCCCTCTCTGAAAAAAGAGTGAGTAGAAAGAGTTTTGGCCTGCCTAATAAATATATGCTTTGCGTTATCTTTTTAATTGTTGGTATATTTCCTCTTCATATCTCTGAAAGATGTGGTTGTCAGGTTCACTTCTGCGTTTGCACGATCGAATCCGGATTCTTCCTCGGGACCTACTGCCCCGTTCACTTCCTCTTTCTTCTGTTAACAGTGACATTTCTACTGAGCATACCCCGGTCTGTGTGCGTGAGTCTATGATGCTTCTATTTTTTTTTTTTAGTGAGTATGATATTCCTTTCTTCATTTGATTTTTTTTTGTTCGTTACGGTCATCTACGTGGTGCCATTGTGAGCGAAACAGATCCGCTTTGTCGCTCTTGAAGCAGAGGCTGGGTGAATGTGCATATTTGCTTTCTGGCTGCCACTGTCTCCTTCACGCCAGACCCTGAACTTTCTCCCCACTCCACTCTGCTCCCGTGTTCATCATTCAGTATTTATATGGTTACACGGCAACTTCCATCTTCGAATTTGCTTGCTGCCTCCTTCTTTGTGCTCTTGTCACTACGCTGTCTTTCATCTTATTATGTGGCTTGCTGTTCACCACTACCGCACGCAAGCAGTGCAGATCCAAGGCATCTGACTCAGTGCGTGGTGCGTGATCGCTGAGGGAACGATGGTCCAGTAAAAGGGCCACAGGTGTGTGTGTGTGTGTGCTTTCCGTGAATATTTAGAGTTGAGCCTTCGGGTTGTGTGTGTGTGTGTGTGTGTTTCGAATTCGTTTGGCTGTGAATCACTTTCCACGTGCACGTACTCCGGTGGCCACGTCAAAGGCCCTTCTCGATCTCTCTCTTGCTTCACTTTGTTTACTCTGTCGCGCACGGCACACTAAAGGGCGACGAAGAAGTGCAGAGACGGCAAGAAATAGGAGATAGCAAGCGTCTCTTCCTCTTCGTGTGTGCAGCGCCGTGGTTTCTCTTCCTTTGTTCCGGTACATTTCATTTTTGAGTCTCGAACTCTTTCGCGCAGTCACGAAAAAAAAAACGTCACTTGCACGGTCGGGCAGAACCGAAGCGCGTTGCAGCAGTAATACTGCTCCCTCGCTGCTTCGTTTTACGTCGATGGAAAGCACGGCTTCTGACACATTGGCCGTGCTGAGCGATGATGTCTTGGCGCAGATGAGCCGTGAGGAGCTTCTGGAGCACCTCCAAAAGATTCAGGAAGCGGCACTCTCGCAAAACACGAATCTGNCGGAGGAGGAACGCCTCCGTATCCGGCGGCGGCGCAGCAGTGTCAGCCTGCAGCAACGCATGGGTGGCGAGAGCAGCAGCTCCCGTCATAGCAGCCCGCGGCAATACTTCCGTGCCTGGCGCAACGGCGAAGAGTCGGGGGGCGCCCAGCCCACGCAAACGCTGGGCTCCTCGCAGAATGAGTTCAGCACGTCTAAAACACACAATGGTGAGACGACGTCGCTGCTCAGCTTCCTCAGTGGCTTCGCGTCGACGCAAGCGGCGGGTCTCCCCGATCCGCTACCTGTTGCTAACGCCCTGTCTTTGCCAGCGCAGTTTTCGCGTGACCGCTACTCCTTCTCTGCTAGCACGCACAGTATGGCGGTACAGGCCCCAGCTCGGCTGACAGATAAACTGCATATTGCTCGAAACGAAGAGGGCAATAAATGCATCAATAATTATCAGGTGATCAAGGAAATAGGACGTGGAAGTTGCGGCAAGGTGCAGCTGGCCTACGACATGGAAAAGGACAATCTGGTAGCCATAAAGCAGGTTCGGCGGGCTGAGACGAAGCTGAGGGTAGGTGGATGGACCTCCGCACAGATGCAATTCAGTGCCCTTCAGCGTGAGATCGCNGTGATGAAGAAGATGCGACACAAAAATATTGTTCCCCTATACGAGGTGATTGACGACCTGAATGCAAAGAAGCTCTACCTTGTGATGATGTACGTAGACAATGGACCAATTGGTCGCGTGCGATGCAGTCCTAATGGAGACATCACCGCAGAAGTATGTACGCCCATCCCGGCAGAACAGTTAGTTGTGTACGCCCGTCAGATTCTTGCCGGGCTAGAATACCTACACGATCACAAGATTGTACATCGAGATATCAAACCAGAGAATATATTAGTGGATAGGAATAAACAGGCTTTTTTGGCTGATTTTGGCGTGGCGGAGGTATTTGAGGTGAACAACCGTGAGCTACTGGAGCAAATAATGCAGGAGAGCATGGCAGCCAGCAGAACTTTTGGCGGGCAGGGCCAAGGGGCAATGATCCAAGGCACAAAGGGCACCATGCTTTTTATTGCTCCAGAGCTATGGAAGGGTGACAGGTCCTATGCAAAGCCAGTAGATATGTGGGCGATGGGAGTCACATTGTTTATTCTACTTACTGGCAAGTTGCCATTTTGCACCCTCGACGATATCATGAATCCGGATCTTCCTGTGATACCCACTGCGTACGGGAAGGAGTGGACAGAGTTGCTCTGTGGCCTGTTGCACCGCGATCCTAGCAAGCGTCTCACTGTGCGTGAGGCTCGTAGCATGGTGAAGAAGATGCACGGAGGACAATCTGGCGAAAATAATGACCATAAGGAGGCTCACTTGGACGTGACAGAAGACGACGTGGCGCGAGCTCTGACACTCGCCCAGAACCAGAAGGATGAGGATGACGTTGAGTGGTTACTGGGCCAGCACGGCGGCGAGAGTTTTAACGACCGGTCACCGCCAGATGAGGGTCGTGAAGTAGAAGAGTATGTTGGCATCAACTACGGTCTTCCCTGGGTTATGTCTGGCAGCGGCGAAGACAAAAACAACAATCCTTCAACCGATGTATCGGCACCTGTGGAGAAGCCCGAAGAGGCCACCCGCGCAGAGGAGCCTGCAAAGCCGACCAGCCCCTCAAAGCGGGTACCGCAACCCGGCGTGCAGGGAATCGTTAAGGGGGAAGAGAAGCCGATCATCATGGCCAATAGCGGCACGTGGCGCACTACGGACGCGCCGCTGCACGTTTCGATGGAGCTGTCGAGACGCGGCCTCCTCGCGAACGCTGAGGAGGCGAATAGCACCGCATGTGTCTCCAATTCACCGCCGGTGCCGCAGAAGGAGGTTGCGGCAAAAGATCGCCGCGGAAGAGGTGGCATTTTTGCGAGGCTGCGGGAGGCGTTGTCATTCGCCAGCTCCTCGAAGCCAAAAAAGAAGAGGGAGTGAGGGGGGAGGAGGCGCACTACAATGTACATGCACCCCTGTTCTGTTTCTTGATTTTTGGGCCACTTCTCCATCATGGAGATCTTCTGTGGGCGTGTGCGCCCAAAATGGATTCCTGAACGAGGCGGGGCGTGTGGGAGTGAAGGCGAAAAGAGTCCTCAGACACCGTCCGTCCATTCTTCCCGCGGCTGTGCCCCTCACATTGCGTGTATTTGTAGGAGATTTGTAGGACGTATGACACGAGAAAAAAGCGAAAATGTATAATTGATTCACACTCCAATATATATATGCTATGCGGCGGTGTCTCTCACAGAGCGACATCAGCCCGCATGTACACCCCACTTTCATTTGCTTTCCACCCTTTCCGAAGGGAAGAAAGGTGCTTACATATACGCACCCACACACGTGCAACCTTTTTGTCGTTCTCCCTCCGTCCTTTGTGAAGAGGAAACAAAAACCGGAATATTCAGATTGGAAATTGATGGAAAGAGAGAGTAATGAGGCGTATGCATCGTGTCGTATGCGCAAGGGTGGAATATTTCCGGTTTTTTTTTTGTCTTTTTGGAGGTTCCATTTTTCTTCATTGAGTGAGGTGGAATATGTGCTTGTGATTTCTTTTCCTCCTCCTTTCTGCAGCTGCGGGTGCCGTGTGAGTTATATTTTCTTTTTGTAGCCTGTTTTTTTTTTTCTGCTGGCTTTATTCCCCCACTCCATATATCTCATTTTCCGCTAGATGTCTTTTCCCCTCCGTTGCTCTCGGCCCACACAAACACTCATCTTTGCGGGAGTATTGCGTGGTTCCACTGCTAATGCGTGCGGAATTTGACAGAAGCACGAGAAAATTTTCCGTTCCTTTCTTCTTGCCATTGTCTCCGACCTTTGCCTCGAGAGTGCAGCAGCGGGTGTGGAGGACACGCGCAGAGAAGTAATACGTCTTCCGCGCCTCATGCGCTGTCGTGCTGGTTGCTACCATGGCAAGTAAGATAGAATGGCCCCATCCGCCGTTGTCATCTGTTTTCTTTGTCGCAGCATTATTGTTTTTTGGTGGAGTGGATCGCTATGTACAATTCCGCTTTCTCCCTGCCTTCCTCTTTCCAGTGCAGATTCTTGCCACGCCCATTTGTGCTTCTGTCGTGATGGTTTGTGCATATTTTGTGCTTTATACTTTGTCGTATTGTCCAATAGCTGTAGCAGCAAGTGAGGGGGAGAGAAATGGAAAGTAGTGGGGATGTGATGATGATAGGATACTTTGAGCTGAGCCCCACAAAAAGAATAATGAGGGAGAGACAAGCAAGCAGAGTGTCAGGCTTGAACAGAAGGAAGTGTTAGTCTATGTATTGATGCAAGCACCGCAGTTTTGCTTCATATTGGATCATTTTCCTTGCTTTTATTATTATTATAATTTATCTTTGCTCTGTTGCTGTTGCACTTCTCTTAGTGTGTGTTCAGATGAGAAAGAGAGGCTGTTCTTGCTGTTGCGTCCCCGCATGGAATGTATAATGTGTGGCATGCACACCCTCAACGCCGGGGTTCTCTGCATTTCTGTATTTTTCTGCTTTCTTCCCTTTTGTTTTCGTCTGCGTATCTTAGGCGAGTGAAGATGGGGTCATAAAGAAATGATGATGATATTGTATTAATGAGGATAACGCTGCCGGTTAACGTCACACGTGAGTAGGACAATGAGCAATAGGCTTTATTGTGTGCCCCTCCTGCAACACCAACAAAAAAAAGCGCACGCTCCCATTTCCCTCTCCCTATCACCCCCCAATATGTGTGCGTGTGTGTGTGGTTGTCTGCTCAGCGCTTCACACCCCTTCCGCTCACGACAGAGCCGGTGTGCCATGCATTGGTAGGCGTTTCTTCGACAAATGCCTCTGCTCTTGTCCGTGAGGTGGTGAAGGTGCGGGTCTGTGTTGTTGTTGCTACTTCTGCTTCTCTAGTTGTTGCCGTCGTTTTCAATTGTCTTTCTTCGCCCGGTTCTGTTTGTTTCTCTCCCCTCCGAGAGGAGAGTGGTAGTGTAAAGATCATTGTTTTCTTTCTCGGGTGGCTTGCCACATGCTGCGCACTGCTCTCATTGTCTCGGACGGCCGCTCAGTCTCGCGTGCATATCGTGTGGGCCTCACGCAGCAGCGTCGCCATGTGCGGTACGCAAACATCCAGGAGGCGCTCAAGCCGCAGTCGGGGCAGAGCGCAGGGCAGATGTCTATCCTCAACGAGATCTGCTGCAACCCCGACGCAGAGGAGGAGCGCCGCAAGCCGATCTTCCGCCACGAGGTGGCCCCGCGAGGGATGGGGAAGAACTACCTGCGCACTATGTACCAATGGGGCTTCAACTCACTCACACTCTTTCGCAAGACGAATGAGGACCCTGGGCCGTGGTGGAATGCCAACAGCAGCACGCTCGTTTCAAACTGGTCGCAGGTGGGCGATTACGCTAACGCCGGCATGTGGTCTGGTGTTTGGCGCTACACTTATGGCGTGGGTGAGTACAACCTGCGTCCCTACGAAGTGCGGGGCCGTGCGTGGGGACGCCGCTTCAACAAGAAGGGCGCCTTGGCTATTGATTATTACTACAATTGTAGCAATAGTAAAGAAAAGACGACGAGCCCGCAATACCTCATGTTCCCACATACAGCTGAACACCAGATGCACCGCCGTCTGAAGAACCCACAGCTCCCTGAATTCAAAGATATCGACGCGCTGCATGGTAAGCGCATCCTGCGGGAGATCCAATACCACCTAGGGCAGGGGCTGCGCTTCTATCTCATCGATGGGGTGTTTGGCAGCCATCCGGCCACGCAGACACCGTACCGGATTATCACTGACAACCCGACGCACGCGTACTTTGCATCGCTCGCGTCCATACGCAAGTTCAATTACGTGGCTCAGCAAGAGATCATGCTATCCAAGCGCATTACACAGTCGCCTATCGATGAGTGGGGCTGGCGGCGCCCTGGTGTGCTGGTGTACCACGCCCCCGGCTGGGACTTTGAGAGCCCCCGTATTGTTGAGGAGTTTGGTGGCCCGCGCCCGCGGGATTTGGGTTTAGAGCATCCAAAGTTCATCGCTATGGAGCCGTACAGTATTCCCATGAAGGCAGTCATCGCAAGTGAACCAAGCTGCGACGCACTGCTGGATGTGGCGGCCTTCCTATGTGCTCGATGGGGCTTCTACGCGGACGACAAGGGATTTCTCACTCTTGCCGCAGAGAGCATTCTGAGTCCAGATGCCACTAAACTCACGTTGATCGTGTGCAGCTCCGATGCGGAGGCCGACATTCTGCGGGCATCGCCGTACATCTTCGGTGCGCGCCATCACCGCATTGCAGACGGGTGGGTATCCCGTGCGTGGGACGTCGTGTCGGCGCCGAAGAACAGCGTAAACGCTGACACGCATGACATAGTGGAGGAAAGCTTAGGCCGTGTGCAGAAACCACTTCCAGGGCGCATTGGTATGCCCCACGCGCGTTCACACCGCCACTACGGCCGTCGTCATGTTTCCGGTTTTGGTTACAAATTGCCCCACACCTACACGGAAGATGCGGCAACCAAGGCAGCTGCAGGTGGGCATCTCTTCGCCGCACCCGCCAAAAATACACTTGAGTCACACCCCATTCGTCCAAATGCATTCAAACTTTCGTCAGTGAATATCATCGTGATTGGTACTGGTTCGGATGCTGCCAAGGTTATCGCCGATGGTCTCTTTAAGAAGAGAATGCTTTACGCTGAGCCGGATAAGCTACAAGAGGCACTTGGCACTATGCTGAAAGAAGCAAAGAATGTGCGAATAGTTGAACCAAATGCGGCAACGGGTGAATTGCAGAAACTTGCCAAGACTGGCTCTACATAAGGAGAAACCTGGACAAAGAGGGGCTGAAGCGGAAGGGCGGTGGTTTCAGGAAGTGTTGGGGAGGGATGAGAGAGCGGTTTTCCTTTACTAGAGTAATCCAAGCGGTGCCAGGTCATGATAATAGTGAAGGTATTATGAGTGAAGAAGTGGGATGGAAACAATGGGGGTGGGGGAGGTGAGGGCGGGGTTTTATAGTAGTTTAGGGAAGGAACTATTTCCTTCAGTGAGTGAATGAATGAAAAGGAAAGGGAAGATGAAGCGGTGATGTTGTCGCTACATCTCGTGAGTTTTAGCCGCTGTGAAGAATAACAAGCAAAGGGAGAACGAGAGTGGTATTTGTGTGGGTGCGTTTGCAGCACCCCTCCTCGGGAGTTGTGTAGCATTTATCGACCGTTTGCTCTGGCGTTGGTACCCCAGGCGCGAGCTCCTTCACACTACCGCCACACCACCTGACCACTCAACCTTTCTCGATCTGTCAATTCTGTGAAGAGAGACGTTTAGCGTAGTCACTGGCGAAGGGAAAGAGAAAGGAATCCAAAAGGCCTATTTTCAGCCCACATGGATCCCCGGGGCGGCGGCGGCAGCAGGAACGGTGGCAAGCCATCGTCGGGTGCGTCAACGTTTGCCGACAGCGCCTATCATGCGGCGGAGCGTCGAAAACGGCGGCAGCAGTGCGAGACGACGCGGTGGTCCTACGAACTCCAGGACATTCCCAGTAGAATACGGAGGATCCTCAATGATGTGAATATCGGCTACGTGGCTCGCTTGACGGTTGTCTGTGGGATCACCTGTGGCATGTCGTATGCCCTCTATCATGCGTTTCTCGTTCGCTGGCAGGAGAAACGACCACTGGCAAAGCGATCGCGCTTCGCTCCACTGGTGCCGGTGACGTTGCTTGAGAAGGACAAACTAGAGGGAAGTAACATGATGGTACTGCGCTTCGCACTGCCCAACAGCTACGACTACTGCGGCTACGAGCCGGTGAGTTCCGTACGGGTGACTTCTGGCATTCTGCGTGAGCTGAGTCCCGTCAGCCGGTGGTACACACCCATCAGCCATCCCGATCAGCGGGGCATCGTCGAGTTCGCCATCAAGGATTGCGACCCAGGTCGCATGGCAGCGCGGCTGCGGCGCCTCGAGCGCGGCGATCGTGTTTATCTTGGCCGCTGGATGAAGGAGTTTCCATATAGGAAAAACACATATGGGGAGTTGGGCATCGTTTGTACTACCTCAGGTGCCTCCATTGCCCTGCAACTGATGAACGTGCTCGACAATGACAAGAGCGATAACACGAAGGTGCGTCTCTTGTATTGTCATCACACTGCAAAGAGCATCCCGTTTCGCGACGTGTTTGATGCTTATGCCAGCCGCAACCCGGACAGGATATCCGCAAAGTATGATGTGATGTCGTTGGCCCGTCAAACATTGGCTGACGGTGTTAATCTTGGCGAAAACTTCTTTCTTGGACACATTGACCCTAGCATAGTAGAGAAGGCGCTCCCGCCTCCCATCACGATTGACCCCAAGACGGGGAATGTGATACGGCCAAATATCCTCATCTGCGGGCCGCAAAGCATGTTGTTGCCTCTCTGTGGGCGCGTGAGCTCGCTTGGTAATTACTCCTACTGGCAGGGTCCATTTTACAAGTATTGTGGCTTCCTGAAGGATATGGGGTACATTCGCAGCCAGGTGTACAGGTTTGGCGTCTCAACCCACATGCTAGCCAACCAGTAACGAATGTGTGGGTGCTGAGAGGGGTGAATGGGAATGAAATCTGCCCTATGTAGTGATTGCAGCCTTTGCATGTCGTTTTGTCTTCACAAAGATGCACGTTGGTGAGTGCTATATCGCCTTGGGGTTTTTGGTACTGATGTCCTTTTTTTTTTTTGAAGGTTCTGATTCTTTCAGATTGCATCCAATTTTTTGTCCTTTGTATCTGTTTTTTATTTTATTTTTTCTGTTCTCACTCATGATGCCAGCACATTGCGCGCCTCGACTCATTGGTGAGTTAACCCAAGTCGTTGGGTGGGGATAAGATAGCTGTGGTGCGACACGCTTTTGGGGGTCTGAGGGCGCCGTCGCGGCAATGACGACGTGGGCCGCTGTCATTGACCGCCAGGTCCTCCTCCGCAACGCTGCAGAATTTCAACCCATAGAATGTCTCCTCGTTGCCCATCGCACTGCACAGAACCAGTTACTGCGAATGCAACAGCACCTCAAGGAGTTGGGTCATGAAAATGCGAAACTGGATGAAAAGAACAAGGCTCTCGCACAGCAAGTGCGCATGCTTGAGTTGGCGGCAGCTGGTGTCATTAATCGAACGGCTCGCGAAGAGGAGCTGGAGGCAAAGATCGCCCAACTGGAGAAGAAGGAAAGCGCTGCGCAGCAGATGCTGGACGAGAATAGCCAATTCGAGGCCCAGAGGCTTTCAGAGGAAAACAAGAGTCTGCGGCAGGACCTGGCACGTCTGAAGGAGCAGGAGACACAGCAAGAAGACGTGCTTCGGATGATGAAGAATGAGTACGCAGCACTCAAGCAGGAAAATGACCTGGTGCGGCCCAAGCTGGTCACACTCATGGGCGAGCGTGACCGCTACGTCAAGGATCTGCTGGCGACCAAGGATACCATTGCGAAAATGCAGGATAAAATTCTGGAGTATGAGGACGAGTTGAATAGAATGCGCAAGGAACGGCGCATCAGCAGCGGTAGCGGTGGTGTAGAGGAGACGGCGAGCGCCGAATGGCAGATCGCTGCAACGTCGCGAGCGAAGTCCAATAAGACGCCCGTAGCCAGGCACCGAGATGTGTCCAGTAGCGCTGATGTTTTGCCACCAATGGGGGTCGCGTACACCATCGACAACGCGCACGGTGATCGCCTGCTGTACGCGGCATGTGCGGCCAATGGGGGGCAGTGGCTTATTTCCGGTGGCGCAGACCGCATGATTCGCCACTGGGAAAGCGGCACTGGTGCGGTGCGGCGCAGCCACTCTAGCTTCAACGTGCCACTATCTTTGGACAGCACGTCACATTACCTACTGGCCGGCTGCGCAGATGGCACGGCGCGGTTTTGGGACACAAACAACCTGCGCACAGTGGAGCTCACAGGACACAGTGAAAAGATTGTGGCCGCGTGCCTCTCCCAGTCTGCGCACAGTGCCTTCACCGCGAGCTCGGACCGTACAATAAAGCTGTGGGACGTCCGAAGCAGCGCGATGCAACGTACAATCATGTGTCCTAGTACCTGCAATGATCTGTGTGTTCTTGACACCCTAATCATATCGGCGCACTACAATGGCAGTATATGGGCTTGGGACCGCCGCACGGCCGGACGCAGCACGGAGATCAAGCAGGCCCACCAGCAGGCCGTTACGTGCATCCGAATGGACCACAGCGGTCAGCGCTGTGTTTCGTTGGGGCGTGATGGCGTCGTGTCGGTGCGGGACCTCCGCGATATGAGCCGTGAACTCTTCCGTGTGGAGCACGAGGACATACGTATCTCGACAAATCTCGCGCGACTCGCGCTGAGCCCGGACGGAAAGCTCTGTGCTGTGGGCAATATGCGTGGCGCAATACTTTTTGTCTCACTCGATGATGGCAATATCCTCCCAGAACGGCTGACAGAGGGGCACCAGATGGCTGTCCACAGCCTCGTGTGGACTCTGTGCGACACGATTCCGCTCCTTGCATCTATCGGTGACGATAAGCGCATAGTCGTTTGGAAGTAAACCTTTTGCTCCTGGGGGAGGGGAAGGCAATACGCGCCCTGCTGAGAGTCAGCTGATGTGCTTGGCCCGTGCGCAAGGGAAATGTTGTTTCATGATTTTGTTTGGTTGTTGTTGTTTTGGTTTCGCGTCGGCGTTACTGCAATCCTTCCTTTCTTCATATCTTCACTCTTCTTAGGGGTTCCGGCGATGATGAGGAGGTTCTTTTTATCCTCTCTCCCTCACACGGCGAGAGCGAAGTGGAAGTGTCTCTGGTGTATCATCTTCGCGTGGGTCCTGTTGACAGGGGTCGTCGGCTTGCTGCTGTTTGAAGGCGATATTCCGGAAGGGCTTTCCACGCAGCCGATGACGCTGGGCCCGCAGCGGGACTCGATTTCACTATCGAGAGAGGAGGGGCTACAGCGATTCACGATTGTGTTGCTGGTGTACAAGGCACCCCGCTCCACAGCAAACACGCTGCGCAGTCTAGCAACCAGTGGGCTAGTGTACTACCCCAGGTTCCACGAGGTGCTTATCTACAAGCAAATGCTGGACCCGACCCGCGTGGCGGCGGAGGAGAAGCAGTTTGCCGACCTTGTGTGGAATGGGAGCAGCAACACCGCTTCGACAAATCGGCGACTGCGTGTCATTGGAAGCGAGAAGAATGTACCGGTGCCGGAGGCGATGGCCGCGGCGGTGCGGGCAGTGGAGACGGAGTACGTGCTGTACGTCGAGTGCGACAGGCCGGTGTACACATTTCCGTTTGGCGTGGGCGGAGCTGCCGCTGTAGGCGTTCGAGCCACGAGCACCACTGAAGAAGCGGTGCGCTCGTACGTCGCCTCTATTTTGAGCGTAGCGCTTCAGTACCTCGATGAGAATCGTGCGCATGTGTTTAGACTGCAACTGTACGCTTCACCACTTATCCGCAATGCTTCGCTGCCGCTGAGGCCGCCGCCGCCGCCACCGCCATTCCCTTTCACTGCCGGACCACGCGCGCGGAAGCAACTGACAGCGGAGGGGCTTCCGCTGGAAATGTACGGAACAACACCGTATGAGTACTGCCACTTCTCCCCGCGACTTAACGATCCATCAGGATTCTGCATGCAGAGTGCGAAATATCGGGCAAGGTATGGCTCAACATTCAACATGGCGTATTGTGGGCACTGGCGGCGCTTCATTGACGGCGAGCACCGCCACTCAAGCCTCTGCGACGCGCTGTGCGCCAAAGAGTGGATTACAGCAGTAAAGGGAGACCAACGTGTCTCAGAAGAAATAAAGGTTTCCCCCTTGTGGCAATTCTTTGAGGACGCACGCCGTACTGCTGATGCTGATGACTCTGTGAGCGGATTGGTGACCGGAAACAACAACCCCACCCGCGCCGAGCCATTCATTTTACGGCTGCATGGGGTAGATGCGAGCAATACGTCGACACCGCACGGCTTCGCACACAACATCCTCTGCTTCCCCTCCTCATTGTGCAACTGGACGAACCAGCCGGCACTATACCGGCGTTCGTGGTTTCTCAAGTTCGTAGCCGCGCGATGTTTGGCAGGAAAACGACTCTGCGTTGGCCTCCCAGGCCGCGGCTCCGCGGCGTTGCTGGAGCGCTTTGTGACGGAACTTCGTCCGTGGCGACATAGTGCCGTTCGCATTTGTCTAACAGACGGTCTGTTCATTCATAACGAAATTGACAACTAGCGTGACGGCCTATCACCATTAACATTCATTGTACCACGGTAGCGTGATGATGAAGGGCACTATGGAGTTACCAGCAGCTGCTCTTTTGTATTTTGTTCTCTCCATGTCCCTTTTTTTCCCGCTCTCTCTTGCGATTACAAAGGGTAAATGACGCCATCGCATGATGTGGGCCTCCATGGCTCTCCCGCGGTAACGCACCACCCCACGGCTGTTAAACCCACCTCGCAGTGGAACACAACGGCCTGTAACAGCTTTCGGAGCAGCAGCAGCAAAGGCGGCAGCAACGCCACACAGGAGATTTCTAGTGACATTATGACTCGCTACGAGCGCATGATTGCGGTGCTGACCGCACAGGCCCTATCGCAGCAGGAGGAGATCGCGCAGCTTAAGAATGCTATGTTCAACGCAGCCGGACTCTGCAACGATGGTAGCGCGCCAGGGAACAACTACGTAGAACCACCGACACGCACAACATCGTCGCGTATGCTCGACAACACGCGAACATTCGTCGAGAGCAAACCACAACGCACCGCAACTAGGGGCAGCGGGACGCGACGGATGCCGAAGGGTTGGCGACGCCGCATAGAGGACCACATGGTAGGGCTGCTAGAAACGCACATGCGCTGCATGGACGAGCGCTTGGCACGGTGCCTGGTGGAGCGGTTTCGGCAGGTCACACGCCAACACGTAATACGCTCAGTGGAGAAAGAGGTGCTTCGTGTCCTGCACGAGAAGCCGCTGCCCGTAGCGGATGTGGAACCACGAGATGTTTCAGTTGATCCCACGGCTACGCCGCAGTGCAGCGCAGCTCCGCCTCAGATTCACGTGGCGAACGAAGAATCTGCGTGGAGGTCTGTGAAACCTGCAACTTATATGGGAGATCAGCAACAGAATCGGCAACGACCACAAAGAGTTATCGAAAACGGTGTCCCAACGGAGCCGCATGTATCTACTATTGCCGGTGATCCGTCATCTCTGTCAGAGTCGGCTGCGTCGCTCCTTCGACACCACGATCAACTGCTGCTAGAACAGCTGCAGCGCCGTGTGGCAACGCTGGAGGACCGTCTAGCTGTCGCTGCGACGTCATTTTCCTCTAAAGGCACGTCGCCGCCGTCGCTAGCAAATGCGACGTGTCACCTCAACGGTCACAGCAAGGACGACGGCAACAGGACGCATCTGTGGTTCTCCTCACGGTCGCCGACGAACTCCGCGAGTGACGATGTGGGTGTGCTTGTTGACGTCTTTGAGGGGCGGAAGCCGCCGACAGCCGTCCGACTACTATCACCGTGAAGACATTTTTTTTTTTTGGGGGGGAAGGGGGGGTTCGGGTGGAGTCTGTTGTCTCCCGCCGCGCGCAGTGCGCGCCCCCGACGGCTCCCGGCATAGAGTGGAGGTGGGGACTTGAATAGGCATCATGAAAACGGCACCACAATGCTGCTGTTGCGAGATGTGGGAGCTGGTAAAAGCGTTGACTGCGTTATCATTGGTATTTCTCTCCTGTTGGTGGAAACTGCTCTTGTTTTATTAGTTTCCTTTTCACATTCAACACCTTGAAAGGAAAGGGAAGGAGGGGAACTGGCAAGAATGCTGGATGACGCATCCCCCAGCAGCGGTGCTGACAGCAATGCGCTCTCAGTGGAGTTTCTCTCCACCCTTGACCGGCGCGCAGCGACTGCGATTACTGAGCTGAGCCGCGCGGTGAAGTCACACCAGGAAAGCCACAGCCACCGTACCCACGGCGCTCTTGTGCTTGCTGTGGCGGCAGCACAGCGCGTGGAAAAGCTGCTCGGAACCGTTAATGAACAACAACAACAGCACCAACGTGCAGGACACTCTGCCGTTGTCCCGCTTTCCCTACTCGTACAGCTGAAGAGCCACCGGGCGGCTATTCGTCGCGCTCTACCCACCGCTGTTGCTGCAGCGGAGACGAGTGGATCAGATGGCACGGCCGATGCTGTGAGCGCGCTGCGCTCACTGATGCACACGCGATCGCTTTTGGGCATTGAATTGCGCAAAGTGCAGGGCGCCGTTGACGAAATAGCAGGAAGCTCCGCGTCGCTGGATCTACTCCAGACCTCGCTGCAAGACGTCAATGCTACGGTAGAGATGGCGCAGCGACTGGTTCGAAAGCTGCTGGTGGTGAAGTCCACGGACGACATCGTGTTGCGTATCTCTGCGGCCGTGTATATACTCGTCGTGGTATACATCATGGCACAACGAGTGTTTGGGTTCTTCCCAACGAAAATTGGCTGAGTGAGTGCCGAAAGAAAAAGTGAGTGCTTTGTTTTCCGCGGGTTGCGGTTGCTTTTGTTGATGTTGTTGTTGTTGAAATGAATGAGAAAGGGTGTGTTGATTATTATTATTATTCATGTGTGTGTGTGTGTGTGTGTGTTCATGTGTCGTATGCACGCTGATCTTCCCTTTCCTTCATGTTGCTGATCAGCAGCACGCAATGAACCATCTGTCGCAAAAGCGGCAACAAGGAAAAGGTACTGACGCTGGCTTTCACTGCCCCACTGCGCCCAGCCTTATCAGCCCCGGGTCGGTGGCGATGGGCAGAAAGGGGGTGCTGCAGCAGCGGCTAACGCAGATTGAGCGTGAAAAGGGAGCAAGTTGCAGCGCACTGCCGTCGATTGGCGATGCGAAGTCTTTGAACAAGGCGCGCCTCCACTCCGATGCGTACTCGGAGCGGGGCGGTAGCACCGTCACTGCGGACACCAACAACAACAACAACACCACCACCAATGTGACGGCGGAAGAGCAGCTGAAGCGGCGCCTGCAACTCACGCAGACAGTTGCAGCGCACCTCATGAAGGCTGCGCTCGATCGACAGTCTAATGTATTCCCAGTGGTCGTTAACGACCCCGAGACACGCGAGCCGCGGATGCTGCTGGAGAATGAGCGGCTCTTGCGGCCTGAAAAGCAACTTCTGTTGGCCCCATGCCTTGGTCTTGCCGCGGGGGCGAACGCGATGGGTGGCCACTCGCAGCGCTTTGCAACATCGCAGGACGAAGCAGCGCGGTGTATAGAAAAGGAGCGCGCGTCAAATCGTGTTCTCTTCTCGTGGTGGGAATCCCGCAATGCGTGTCGCCAGGACGAGGAGGAAATTGCTGCCGTCGAAGAGGAGCTGCGCAGTCCGCTCTGGAGCTGCTTCCGGCAGTCCCTCACAGAGGAAGAGGCGCAATGTCTGCTTGAGCTGAATAGCACGCAAGAACAGACAACATCGACTATGACAATGGGCAGCAAAAAGCCACTAGGTTCAGCGGCCACATTCGTGGTAGCTGATCGTGGCATTTCAATGCCTCTGGAACTCTATGAAAAATTATTTCAGAGTGTGATGGGGCGTGTGCATCGACGCTTTCTGACGCTGCTGCAGTGCGCAGGGAAGAGCACAAAGGACAGCATCGAAATGTCACTTGAGTCACGTGCACAGGGCACCAAGTATGTTCAATTCCTCCTCAAGTCGCAGGTAGAAATGGTGGAGGCGGGGGGAACACTCTCAGGCGCCGGCAACGACTTTACAGAAGTGTACCCGCCACTCGTTTCCCTGCCAGAGGAGCGGTGCTTCCGTCCACTTCTAGCCGCCGAAACGGCATTTGGCGTCGCCCTTCTCTGGCGAATTCTCGATCAGACAAAGCTGATTGTGCCAGGCATGGCTTGGGCACTGCAGTTGTACACCCGTTATGTGTTACCGCATGTATACGACAATTTCACCGCCCACGAGCGGCTCCTGCCGAAGGCTGGCGCTATCGGGGAGCAGGTCGAACAGCTACACGCGCTGCAGCTCAATGTTGTACGGCAACGTCACATGATGGCTGCAACTGCACAAGCAAAGGAAGATGTGCGATATTTAGAGGGCTTCATGAAAAGCTGGGCGTGGCGTACATGGCGGCACAGCGCTATAGAACAGAAGCGACGAGAGGTCACAAGATCGCTGTTGGAGAAGGCCTTTATTCGCTTCCACAATGTATTGCGCTTACGTAAGAGCTTCAGTGAGTGGCGCCTTACCGCGAAAGAGGGACGGTTTGCCGCACAGCTTAACACCATCGACGGCAAGTACAAAACTTTCCTCACCTCAGCACAGCACGCTGCCCGTGATATGCAGTTGTTTCCTGGGATCGATGACGGTTTGATGGAACCTGGTTCGAATATCATCGATAAGAACAAGTTTGTCGCTCTGAAACTCGCCGAGACGGCGCAGCATGTGAAGGCGAAGCAGAAGGCGTCTATTGTGGAGCCGCCGCCAACAGAGGGAGAAAATAAGAATAAGGAGAATGGCGAGAGCCAGTCAACGGTAAAGCGCAAATCGACGCGGAAATCTGTTCTCTGGGCGATGGCAAAGTCCGATCCGCTGCAAACACCAGCGCGGCAGCAGCAGCAGCAGCAACAGGAGGGGGGAGAAAACGAAGGCGACGCTGGGGCGGAAGCAGCTAGACTGACACCAAAGAACGATACGTTCATCACTTCCGTCAAGCACGCGAATGACGCTGAATACAGTGAGGCGACTCTGATGCAGAAACGCGCCATGGCGACCTTTGAGGACATGTTGCAGAAACTGCAGGAGGTGGAAACGATCAGTGGTTACCTGCGGCAGGAAATTGCAATACAGAATCGCATCATTCAGAAGCTGGAAAGGGAAAACAATAATATGAAAGACAAGATGGCAGACATCGAGGAGAGTTTACATACCTCTGAGAAGGGTCGGCTGCATTATTGTAACCTCCTTCAAGAGAGGGAGCTTGATGTGCGAGAGCTGGAGCGGCGCATTGTTCAGCTGAAGTCGCGTCTGCGTTGTCAGCGTCAGAGGCCTTGGCAACGCACCGTCATGCGTGTCATAGGGGAGCTGTGCGGTGCCTCAACCACCGTCTCAGAATATGCGGATGAGCGTCGTGTTGCCCGCAACATGCGGACCGCCAGCGCGAATGCAACAGCCGTGGCCAACGGCAGCAACAATAACAACGCTGCTACTGCTGCTTCTTCCATGCAGCCTTCAATGCCAAAGCGGGCGGGCTCTTCCGAACCGCATACGACAGCAACGTCAGCTGATGACCTCACGGAAGATGGGGAGGAGCGTGAGGGGTCAGCGCCGTTGTCCGAACTGGCGCCCGGGGCAGACGAGGAGCGGCTCTTTGGACAGATTGCCCCACTCGTTATCTCCTCCACGCGGTACATGCCAGATGCACATACGATCCTGCGTGATTGGGCGAACAACTGTCTGGAGGACTTAGAATCACTCGACGATCTGAAGGGTGGAGCGTTGTCAACTCGCTTTCACTCCTTCTCTGACGAGGTACGCAACGGTGTGCTTTTTAGTCGGCTGCTGTTCTACCTCGCGCTTCCTCGGTACCAGAACAAAACAGCTGTGGCGCAGACTGCAGCCGAAGGATTCAAGCGGAAAATGTCTACACATCTCGACTTCACCGAGCATCGGCAGCACCTACTCATGCAGCACAACGTTCAACTGGACAGTCCATTTCCAACCTACTCTGAATGCTTCGGTGATCTGCTAAACTTAAAGCCGTCGGGTCGCATGTCCTTGTTGCTGCAGTTCGCGACTGAGCTTATAGAGGGACAGGAGCAACTAGGGGATGAATGCATCCAGAAGCGTCTGGCCCGCATTCGCGATACGGCGCTGAAAGCGACTGAGATGGCAGCCCCGCAGGCAGTGGACCGTGTAGAGATGGAGGAAGTGATCGACTCCTACGCGCTGGCGCGAGGCGATCGCAGTGCATCGCTCACCTTTGTTGCCCTTCTGTACGTGCGCTTTGCTCACCCATTCAATCACAAGGCCAGGCAGAGCGCAATGATCGAGAGGGAGGCGATGATGTATCTCCTTAGCAATGGCACTTGCCTGTTGCAAGAGCACAACAGTGCAAGTCCAGCGACAGAAGGACGGGGTGAGGGGGATTCAGCAGATCAATCGCCAACAGAAGGTGGAGGAGAGCCTATCGCGCGGAAACTCCTCTCTCAGCTAGAGGAAGAGGATCACAGACCGTGGCAGCTCTTCTTAAAGTACTGCCAGCCAATTATAAGTACAATGGCACACCCCTTCATTCTGCGCGGCAATTTCTGGCCCAGCGTCGCATTTGACTCGCCTGACCTCGCGCGCATGCTTGGCGCACTTGGAATTGCCCTGCACCGCTCGTTGGAGCATCACCGTTGGCATATTATCATGTCGTGTCTTGTACCCGTGCACACTTACAGTGGGCTCAGCCGCGGCATCTTCACTGGGCGCCGCGCCTCCCCTACAGCTTTACAGGTCGGACTGGAGCGCGAGGGGGACTGGGCATTTGCGATGGAAATGCCATGTGTGCAGGCGGTGTTTGCTCAGCGTGAGGCGGCGATGCGCAGCGCCGTTGAAAAGGGAACGGTTGCAAATAACGGTACATGGAACGGTGACGAGTGGCGCAATGAGGGTTACTTCATTTCCATGGAGAAGTCACGGCTGATGACGGCATTCGGTATATGTGGCCACGACCTCCTGCAGCTCTTCCTACAACGCGGCAATCTCGCAGGCGCCTGTGCGATGCCGGCGCTCGATCTTGGCGCCTGGCGCCTGATATGGATGGATGTCGGCCTCGTTATTCCCGACGATACCGAAAAGTCGCGGCTAGACCTGGAACAGCTGACACGTATATTCTATGTTGTTGCGACCACAATGATGCAGGCTAGGCGGGAGACGAAGTTGCTGGAACAATACATTGACCCGTTAGGCTCTCAGTCATTACCACTCTTCGGCAGCGGGTTGTTCTACCCTGACTACCTTGCAGCAGTGGTGCTGCTAACGAGCGAGATGTTCCCACCGCTGGAGCAGGGCACAGACAATAGTGAAGGTCCTGAAAGCATCGTGTGGCTCGGCGACGCCCTCTCACGGCTCATGTTTGTGCATGTAGTGCCCAAGGTCATTGTTGCTGCGGCGGAGGAACCGTCAACAATGATGAAGAGCCTTCGGGAAAATGTCAAAACACATGATGTGATTTTGAAATATAACAAGGCTCTGTTGACTGTCTTCAACTCGTATTGCAAGGAAGTATGCGGTGCGTCAGGAATGGAGCGTGAGCAGCTATTACAGATGCTGCGTGATGCAATGCTGACGAGTACTGAGATTTCACAGAACTTGATCTACGATCTCTTCCAGCCCTTCAGCGTCACCAAGAACACAGGGGAAGCTAGCAAGGAGGACAAGCGGCGCGAGCAGGACGCACGACTACGCGACACGGCGGTACAGCGTCGCCGCGGCAATGTGAGTATTCTTGATCCCAACTCGGATCAGCCGCAGGCTTCAGGAAAACAGAAGGAGTACACTGTGCTGCTGTACGACGGCTTTGTTGACTTCCTCTGCGTGTTGTGTCATTTCAAGCAGCCGAATCCGCTTATTCCATTCCCCAACCGCCTGGACACGTTCCTGCGCCGCGGCTTGCTGCGCCCCCTGTCCCACCGCAATGATGCGCTGGCGAGCATTATAGCCTACGAGAGGCGGGAAACGAAAACTGAAATTTGACGAATTTGGAGCGATTACTTCAGTCCTCCTCTTCAGACGCGGCAACTGAAGACCTTTTTCGATGTAATTGACTTATTGCGTGTTTTTTTTTTCGTGGATGTGCGTTCTCCAAGAGTCTTGTTCTTCTTTTGTTGGAAAGAGAGTCATATTCATGTAGAATAAGCAGAGGGGGCGAATTGAGCGTACAGAGTTCTCACCTTCAGTTGCTTTCCCCTTGCTCGGCTCTTCTAGGAGCACTGGATAATGCTGGCTGCTCCGTATTGTCTTTATGCTTGCTCTTCTTCACCTTGTTTTCTATTTATTTTCTCGCGGATGACGAAGAAGAAAGAGGAGGGGAGCCGCGCACTCATGACGATCCTTTTGACGCCAGTTCCTTCAAACTCCTTCCGCTCGTGGAAAGTCATGGGTGGTGGTCTCGAGCAAGAGCTGTGCGTGCAGGAGCGCACCGCCGAGGGGCTCGCGAAGAACAAACGCTTAGGACACCGACTGTTGTACCGCCCCACAGACTTCACACGGTACCGTATCATCCACTCGCGCAACCCGGTGGATTATGACCCCAGTGCGGTGAAGCGAGACGCAGATCAAAAGGCTGAGGAAAGCGTGCTACGGGTGGTTTTGGCTGTTGCCGACAGTTTTGAGGAAATCATGGAAGATTGGGAAAAGGTTAGGGTGAACTGGGGAAAGTGCGTGCAAAATGGTTCCAGCACTTCAGAGGCACTGCCTGCTGTCTGTGGCACCTCGCTTACAGTAGAAAAACCAAAGGTGCCGTATCAATCGAACAGCGTTGAAACCTCCGCCGATCCGGCGGCAGGCAGCTGCAACGGAAACGCAACTGCATCCGATCACCTCGAGCTGACCCCCACGAAAAAGCAAATTTCAAGCAGGTCTCCACAAGAGTCACTGGACGCCTACGATTTGTGTCTTATTCGCATCATAGGTCTCTGGCAATGGCGGTGCCCAGTCGAGACACTTGTGTATATGGTGGTGGTAACACTTAGTTGGTGGTGTGGCGTGCTGTGCTGGCCAGTGTTGTGCCTCGTCACAATTTGTGCCGGGCTGCCGTGGCACGGGTGTCCTCTGAAGAGTGACGAGCAGGCGGAGGGGGCACGTACACTGCAGCAGCTTGAGGAGTTGTTAGGCTGGCGTAGCCCGCGCGGCGTGGTGTCGTCATTCGCCACAGTGGTGCTGCTGGAGTATGTCGCAGCGATGGCAAGACCGGGGTGGCGGTGGGCGCATGTAGTGGAGTGCGCCGTACCGCCCGTTCTGATCGTGTCGCTTTTGCACACCGGCCTGCGCCACCTGCAGCGGTGGGCAACGGCGTATTCGCAGCCCACCGCAACCGAGCCACCTGCTGTTAAAGTACTGGCCAACTCACTCCGACAATCCGGTACGAAGGAGGAGGAGGAGAAAACAGAGGAAGAAATCAAATCTGTCGTCGGGGATATTGCCGAAGCTCCGCTGTCTCCGCTAAATGCACGCGAGACGGCCCTCCGGGACGAAATTTCACCCGAAGGACCTTTCTCACTTATTGTTCGACTCCCCATTGAGTTCGCTGCGGAGTCAAGGGGTTGGGGAAAGCGCCATGTTCGGCAAGATGGCCTCGTGATTTGGGAAAAAACAAGCGAATACTCAAAGAATAAGGCGGTTCTTATTACAGGGAACGTCCTAAATGCGAACGTAGGTAGTTTGCAGGAGCTTCTCCTTGACGATCCTAATTTTGAGGACCGAAAGACAACCTATGCCTATAAATACGACAAACTGCTCTCTGGACGGGCACTTGTGAAAACTCTGGGTAGAAACGAGTTCATCGTGCTGACGCGCTACAGTTCCCCGGCTTGGGGCGCCGCACCGCGTGAAGTGCTGAGCTGCATCAGTACCGCCAACCTATTAACACCAGCACAGCAAGAAGCACTTGGATTGCGACAGGCTAGCAGTGCTAACGCACATGGAAGAGAATTGTTGGCCTTTGCGCAGTGTGGAATCCATTGCCCACAGGACGCCGTCTTGCTTCCACCTTCACTGGCTTCGCGCCAACACCAACGGGCGGTGGCACATATCTACCTCATCATGGGTCTTGAGGAGGCAGATGGATCTTTGACACTCCGCCTCTGTTTTGATGTAGACCCTGGAGGTCATGCTAGTAGTTTGCAGGCCTTTGCAAACAAGCAGCATATTTTAAAAGCTGCGGCCATCGCGAATCTCATCGCCGAAATCGGACCAAAGCCGAATAAGGTGCTCCCGTATGTCAATTCAAGGGACTTTTCCCCCCTTCTGTACCGTCAACCCTCTGTAGTGGGTGCAATGTCAAGTGTCAAGGCTGCAACAGGAGACCACAAGGAGGTAGCATCACCCACCCCGATTGTCACCACCACCAGCACCACCGCTCCACTAGCCAAAGGCACTGACCCAGAAGTTGCGAGGATAGCAAAACGTTTTGTTCAGGAACTCCTGCTGCTCGGGTGGGAGTTGCAATCAGACAAGAATGCTATCTCGCTTTGGACAACGAAGACGGCGTGGACTGACAAGAAAGCAGTGAAGACGGTCACTTTCGTCCCTGGTGTGGCACTGGGGGATGTAGATGTGGTCTTGAACGATCTGGGCCTTGCGGCAAAGCTGGACAAAAGCATCAAGAAGAAAACTGAGGTCAAAACAGTAACTGCGGCAGTCAAGGTGTTCCATACAACATTCCTTTCGCCCATGTGGGGCGTCGCCGCTCGCGACATGGTGACGCGCGTGGTCATGTCGTACTACCCGAGCCCGGCCGACTGTGCGACAATTGGTCTCCCTAGTGTGGACGAGGCGGTGCAACGGCCCATCTTCTTACACGTTGCAGAGGACGCTTCAGAGGAAGTGCCAAAGAGTAAGGAGTATCAAAGGGGTCGTGTGTTTTCGTTTGGTGTGCTGGCGGAGGAAGTCACTGAAGAAAATGGTGTCAAGGGTGTTAGGCTGACGCGGTGTGCGGCGGTTGACCCTGGTGGCTCTCTTCCCACCGCGATCGTTGACGCCGCGGTGACACTACAGATTGAAAATACCCTTCGGCTCGTGGAGATTATAAAGCAGCACGCGACTGCTACATCCAGCACTGGATAAGTTTGAGCTGCTGTGAATAGAGAAGCACGACGGGCTGTGTAACAACAGTAATGGGCACCACCACTGCCACCCTGGCTTTCCGTCTTTTTTTTCTTCGACGAAAGCATTGTATGCAGTGCGGTATCCTTCTTGTGTGATTCTGACAAGCTGTTTAATGATTCACGCTCTTCTGGTTGAAAAGGGAAGCATATGTGCGTTTCACTGTTTTTTAGTGTTAATATTACGCCTGTTTGATATTGTTTCATGCATTTTTCTATTTGTTTTGATCACGACACGGGAACTTCCCACTCCTTCTTACTGTTGAGTTATTCCCAGGTGTGTGTGTGTGTGTGAGAGAGAGAGAGAGAGAAACCCCAAAGACCGCTCTGTTTGTGGATGCTACTTCTCTCTGCTCATTTTTGTTTCTTTTCATGTCTTGTTTCTTCGTTGTTCTACGCCCCGCGTGACCAAAAACCAAAAAAAATGACAGGAAGAGACACACGCTGCAGGGCCGCCGCATTGCAGTGACGGGGTGGAAGTTCACCAACTGTATTCGTTCAGTAAGAGAGACGGGCGATTGCGCGGCAGCTGGGGCGGTGGGGTGGAAACTGGAGCGAGGAGGCTACCCGCCATCGAGTCGCCACAGAAGCGCGCACCACCATCCGCAAACAAAAAAAGGGGGAAGGCAAAAGCGAGCGGGCGCACGTACGCTAAATAAGGAAAAAAACGGGCCCTCCATCCCCTCCTCACTCCCACTCGTTTGGGTGAAGGGGGAGGCGGGGGGCGCTCCCTCGCGGGAGAAGCACCACATTCACCCAGAGAAGCCATACATAGAGAGAGAGAGAGAGAGCGACTATCGTACATAGAGTTGCCCTTGTAATAGACAGTGACGTTAATACCGTTAAGAAGAGAAGCAAAGTGGAATACACACAAAGTCTTTAAAGAACAAAAAAATCAAGGAAGAACGGTGTAATCGTGTGAAACATTACCATAGAGAGGAGGGGCGTTTGAGAGGTTTATGAAAAGCGGAAAGAGAGAAAAGAGAAAGAGAGCGATATACATAGGGACAGTGTTTTTATGGTTAGTTCGCCTTCGGCTGAGACGACCTTTGCAAGGCGCGTGGGTATCTTTGCGCACAATGCATCTCGTCGTTACCGTTGGGTAAACACGCTGCCGTCTGTCTTCATCCGCCGTGCTACAGCATTGCCGTCACTGTTGCATGCGTCGGAGTGTCTCGCTCCTGCCGCACTCCTCTCCGACGCCCCTCCTCTCACTAGTGGGGCGGTGGTGCACAACGCTGCCACCCCGGTGCGTGCGGTATTAGGGCTTGAGACTCATGCGACATGCTTCCGCTGGAGACGGCAGCCACAGTGGCAGGTTTCGATATCGAAGACGTCTGGCGGTGTACCGCTCTGCTATCAGAGCCGAGGTCTGACAACGACAGGAATCAGGGAGCCGGGCTGTCAAGAACCGGCGACCGCCGTTGTCTCTCGGCCGTTGCTAAAACCGACACAACAAGAACAGCATCAGCAACGAAAAAAGGATGGGCCGCGGCTGATATGCCAGGCCCGATGGTCGGAACGCCGTAAGGGTGGTGTAACAGCCGACGGCGAGAAAACGAAGAAGTGCGCCGAGGCTACCGGTTTAGTCACCACCTCAGGCGAAAAAGCCCTCCGGCCGCTGGGTGCCCACCGGCCCACTGAGACGAAGAAGAATTTTTCGCTGCAACAGCAACAGCAGCAACAACAACCACAACAGCCACCAATTGAGCAAAATGTTTACAACAACTTTGCCAAGGTGGGGATGGAAACAGCGACGCCTCCCCCACCATTCCCGCACACGGTGAGTGCCGTTGAGAAAGGAGGCAAGGATGACGGGCTGGTGTACAATGTCTTTACACACCGCGTGACGAAGTGCTCCGCTGCGAGTGTGCGCGCCCTGGCCACGCTTGGCATTGGCGTGCGCGACAACGCGCAGGAGCTCGATGTGGTGAATCCTGCCGCTCTCATGGAGTTGCGCGAGAAACTTATTCGTCGAGAAGTAAGCTGGCCGAAGTCGTGGCGGAACGCTCTCTTCCAGCAACTCCAGTACATCCTCCTGCGAGCGCCAAGCCAAGAGGAGGCGGTGACTGATGCCCGTAGCTTGCTGGAAACACAATACCAACGCGCTAAGAACAGGCGCGGTGTGGGGGTTGTGGCGCCTGGTAACGATGCCGATACCACAGATGGTGTGGCCCTATCTGACAGCGACAGCTTCAGTAGCGGGGTATCGTTCAAGGAACGGTTGCTAACGTATCGGGACTTGAATGAAGAACAGCAGCGTGTAGTGGATTTTGTTCTCAATGGCTACAATACGTACATAGGCGGTGGGGCTGGTACTGGGAAGTCGCTCTTGCTCCGGGTGATTAAGCAAGAGTTGGTGAGTCGAGGCCTCACTGTTGCCGTGACGGCTACAACGGGTATTGCAGCGGCACGCATTGATGGTGTAACGCTTCATCATTGCTTTGGGGTGAACATCTACGGTGAGACCACGCGACGGGCGGAGTTGAAAGCATTTGATGTAATCATCATCGACGAGGTTTCAATGCTTTCAAAGGAGATCTTTGAAACTCTCGAGTATCAGTTGCGTCGGGCAAACGGTGTGGATTTACCTTTTGGTGGTGTGCAGATGATACTGACGGGTGACTTTCTCCAACTCGGGGCGATTGCTTCGATGCCGATTGTGCACTCGGCCGTCTTCCGACGTCATTTTGCGATGCTCAAACTGCAGAAGGTTGTACGTCAATTGGGGAACGATACTTTCGTGCAGCAGCTCCAGGAACTACGGCGTGGTACGGTCCCGCACGATCTGCACGATACCATCACCTTCCTGTCGCCCAGCGACGGCGCCAAGGCTGTTGATAACGAGGAGAAAGGTGCGGTCAGGCTTCTCCCCACCAACAAGGAGGTTAACGCGGTCAACCAGGCCGAGTTGGATAGGCTGTCTGGTGAACCCGTCACATTCCCGGCACGACTGCAGCCCCCTGCCCTGTTGGGTCGCTGGACGGCAACACACATGCTGGAGATTCACCCTGGCGACCCGACATCAGTGGACGCCAAACAGTTAGCGGCAGCTCTGGAAAAGTATGTGCTGGAATTCGTAAATAATGTGCCTCATGCCTCACGCCTCACACTTTCGCTTTTGGGTCAGCGGTACATTGTCCTTTATAAGCTATTTGTGGACGCCTTTGCGTTTCGCGTGCGCATCCCACCTGAGATGGACGAGAAGGACGAACAGGGCCTTGCGTGCCATCTGCGCAGCTTGGAGTCATGGCTGCCGGCGCAGGGGCTGGGTGTGCGTCTGAGGGAAATCGTAGTGTTGCCGGACGGTCTGCACATGGACGTGGACGAGTACATTTTGACACGCTACGCGAACAACTCCCCCATGTCGTCGCCGCTGCAGCTGAAGAAGGGTGCCAAGGTGATGCTGCGCGTCAACCTCGCCCCAGGTCTCGTGAACGGTAGTCTTGGTGTTGTGGTTGGGTTTAAGGAGCTCCGTGCGGGGCAGCTACCGAGATATCTCACCACACCCGCACGCCTCGAGGCGGTCGAAAGTTACATTGAGTGTATGCAGTACGAGCACGGCTTCGCCACTGCTATTGTACCAGAGGTTGACTTTGGAGGAGGCAGGGTGATTGTCGTGCCACCAACGTTGTTTTCTGTGGGTGGATTGTCAAACACCAATCACTACCATATGGGAATCGTAGCGCTGCCGCTGACCCTGGCGTACGCATTTACGGTGCACAAGGTGCAGGGGCTGACGCTGGTGGGGCGTGTGCACCTCGAGCTCTCCCGCATGTGGCCCTGCGAGCACCTGCTGTACGTCGCCATGAGCCGCGTGCGGAACCCGGAGCAGCTGACAGTCTCATCCTTTCAGAATGACTTGGTTCGGTGCGCATCGGAGTGCCTCGTCTTTGACGACTCCTTGCCGCCTGTTGAGCGAGTGCGGGTTCTGCCGCACTTTTTCCAGGCTACATGGCATCGTGTACCAAGCAGGCGCAAGGCGGCTCTCCGACGGAAATTGAAGGACAAGGAGCTGCAGCAAAAGCATGATGAAAAGAATAGCGATGGGCAAAAGAGGACATTGAGAAAGCGTGTAAAGACTGTAAGCATGAGTCGTTGAGCACTGCACATATATATATATATATATATATATGCCTGGAGGGGAGGGGATGAACTCTTCTTTGAGTACGCTATTCGCGTTCCCCTTGCCGATTTTCAGTGTGCTGGTTGAGGGAAATATAGAACAACACTTCTTCCTTGTCGTCGTGATGACATGGAAAGAGAGTTCTTGTGTATACAATTGTAGGTTTTATACAATGAATGGCCATAGTCACTGGCATTGTTGATATACTCACTTATATGGGATCCATGTCTATAAGTTATGCTAGCACGTTGTGTACCTCCCTCATTCCTTGGCATTGTTTATCTCCCTGCTTTCCTTCTTTCGCTCTAACTTTTTTTTGTCCGTAATGGTTTGCCTTTCTTACAGGACTTAGAGTCCTCTTCGTAAAGGGACGGTAAGAGGTATTTAGAAGTACCAAGGGGAATTGCAAGTAGACAGTCTCTCTTCTTTTAAAAGACTTCTTTTGAACTCTGCTTCCTTTTCCACGCCGGCTCGTCTCCGCTGCGCAATGTTCCGCCGACTGCTGCCAACAGTGTTGAATGCGGGAGCCGTGTTTACAAGCACGATAGCAGGACATGTCGACCCCGTGTGCAATCGCCATCCAGTTGCAGCAACAACGTCACGCAGCTGTGGTGCACAACCGTTGCTCTGCGCACGGCGATTTGTGGGCGAAAAACGGTCGAAACCTGCGAAACGTGAAACCAAAAACGCCCAAAAACAGGCCGTTAAAACTAATGATGTTGCCGCTGCTACTGCTACTACTGATACCAACCGAAATTCCACAAGCGGTTTGGCGCTGCCACGGCCAACTATGCAGGGAGCTGTTACGCCACCGCTGCCAATTGCGAGGAATGAGACGGCGGAACCCAAGACAAAGTTGAATCGCATTCCGAAGCCGGACCTCGAGAAGCTGCCGCTGAATAGAAATGCCGCATCGCGTCCCTCTGAGTCAACATTAGTGTACAACGCACTCATTGGACGCATGACATCCGAGACGTCCCAATCAGTCGTGTGCCTGAAGAGCATAGGCTTCGGTGTCAACGCAAAACGGCAGGTGTACGTTGAGAAGCCAGAAGTACTTCATGAGCTCGCGCAGAAGATGCGGAACGGCACGGCGTCGCTGCCAACAAACTGGCCCATCTCCATCGTCCGGGCACTCGGCGTCATTCTGCGCAACCGTGCCATTGAAGATCCTGCAGGAGCGATCCAGCAGATGATTCAGGTGAAGATCAATAGTCTAGCGCAGAGCCGCTACGCCTCCATAACTAACACTGTCAGTGCGACAGAAACGTCGGCGTGCATGGATGGACTAGTGGACGACCTCAACGTGATGGAGCTCAACGACGAGCAGGAGCGGGTGATTGGGCTTGCCCTAAAAGGGCACATGCTGTACATTGGCGGTAGTGCTGGTACGGGGAAGACGGTGCTGTTGCGCGTGTTGAACCGGCGTCTGCAGGCGGAGCGGCTGCGTGTCGCGATGACGGCCACGACGGGGGTAGCTGGCTGCCACATTGGTGGATCTACTTTCCACCACGCGATGGGCGTTAGCTCGCAGGGGGGATTCATCCGCAAGAACCACCTCCTTGACTATGACGTCATTGTCATTGATGAGGTGTCGATGCTCTCGAAGAAAATGTTCGAAGAGTTCGACCGGGTCATGCGCGAAGAGGCAGGCACTCCAGACATCCCTTTTGGTGGGGTGCAGATCATCCTGTGCGGTGATTTCTTGCAGCTTGGCGTTATTAACGAGTCCTCCGTCATCGCGTCAGCGTTGTTCCAGGAGTGCTTTGTGAAGGTACGTCTCGAGACACTGGTGCGGCAGGCCTCGCACACTGTCTTCGCAGATGCCCTGCAAAGCATGCGTGTAGGTGTCGTTCCAGATGCCCTCATGAACTCGCTGCAGCAGCTGCCGCCTGGAACGATGGTGGAGTCCGCGGTGAATCTCCTTCCGACAAACAAGGAGGTGCACGCAGCGAATGAAAAGGAGCTAGAGCGACTCCCTGGAGAAACCGTCATGTTTGCCCCGGAAACAGGTATCACGTCTCTCAAGTGCGAAGCCACCGCAACCCTTCTCCTGCGTACTGATCCAAACTTCAATGAAGAAGAGTTCTCGAAGCATGTGCGCTCGTTGCTGCAGGCAACGCTAGACTTACCGAGCACCTCGTTACTCTGCTTGTACCGTGTGTATGAGGACGGCCACGCGATGCGGGTATGTCTCCCGCCGAGTGAGAGCGCCGCGTGGCGTGACGCCATGCGAGAGAGGTTCCTCGAGGTTGCTGGGCTTATCAACGACTTGGATCTCGGCGCCACAGTGACGGAGATTGTGCCAAACGGCGATGGTCTGCACACCCCTGAGACTGAGGAGTACCTGCAGAAACTGATGGTGAAGCACCCAATTGCGCAGCCAGTGACATTCAAGAAGGGATGCCGTGTTCTGCTGCGCTCGAACCTCACATCACGTTTGGTGAACGGTAGCATTGGCACGGTGGAAGACTTTGTAGAATGCAGCCTCGAGAACATTCCCGGATTCCTCCGCAGCGAGCGTGTAGACAACTGCGTGGAGCGTTACCGCATCTACTGCATGACGGAGTGTGGAATGCCGGTGCCACTTCTGCCTGTCGTGAAGTTCCACAGTGGTGAGACAGTCGTCGTGCCCCCGTGGGAGTTCACTGTTGGCGGCAGTCCCCTTACTCACTACTACAGCCTTAGCAGCGTGGCGTTGCCGCTGACCCTGGCGTACGCATTTACGGTGCACAAGGTGCAGGGGCTGACGCTGGTGGGGCGTGTGCACCTCGAGCTCTCCCGCATGTGGCCCTGCGAGCACCTGCTGTACGTCGCCATGAGCCGCGTGCGGAACCCGGAGCAGCTGACAGTCTCATCCTTTCAGAATGACTTGGTTCGGTGCGCATCGGAGTGCCTCGTCTTTGACGACTCCTTGCCGCCTGTTGAGCGAGTGCGGGTTCTGCCGCACTTTTTCCAGGCTACATGGCATCGTGTACCAAGCAGGCGCAAGGCGGCTCTCCGACGGAAATTGAAGGACAAGGAGCTGCAGCAAAAGCATGATGAAAAGAATAGCGATGGGCAAAAGAGGACATTGAGAAAGCGTGTAAAGACTGTAAGCATGAGTCGTTGAGCACTGCACATATATATATATATATATAT